GGGCACCCACCTCACCCCTCCAGCCCGAGGGGGGACGGCGGCGGTGGCGGCGAAGCCGGGGGGCCCGAGGCTGCCCCGGGGGCCCTGCTGTACCTCCAGATAGTAGAAGATGAAGAAGAGGGTCTCGGTGGACAGGCGCTGGTAGAACTCCACGGTGTCCGAATGTGGGGGTGGCATCTGGTGGTGGTAGGGGGGCGTCGGGCAGGGGTTCCGAGGGAGGTACTGCCTGTGGAGGAGCAGGAGGACTAGTTGCAGTGCCCAGCAGTCCCTGCCGTCTCAGGGGCGGGTGCAAACCCAGACCCCCCCCCACCTCAGGTGAATGGGAGCTTCTTGGGCACCTGGTCACCCCAACAGTGAACTCAGCCCCGCCCCCCAACAGTGGACAGCCCCAAGTTGGGTGCCCAGTAGTGAGGAGGACCACCAGCAAGCTTTACTTGACCTCTCAGGACTGGGGAACCTGATCCCCACCATGGCCGCCGCCCTCACACTCGGTGCTGGGTGCCAGCCCCTCACCGGATGCGCTCGGAGTCTGAGGGGTGGGGCATGTGATGCCAGGCGGCCTCCTCCATGGCCTGCTGGTACAGCTGCTCCTTGGTGAGGGGTACGGGCCCCAGTGGACACACCCCCAGTGACAGTGGGATGTTCACTTCCGACAGCTGGAGGGGTGGTTGGGCTGAGGCTGGAGGCGCGGACGTGCTGCTCAAGATGATGTCTGTGGGGAGGGGAGGGTTAGGGTTAGGAGGGGAGGGCAGGGTGAGGCCGGTGTGGGGCCTGCCCTTCCTCACCACACCACCCCTACCTCGCCCAGACCCTCACCTCGCTCAGTTAGGTGCAGCGTTGGCACGGGGTCCTCGATGCCGGAGCTGATGGCTGCCCGCTCTGCCATGGACTTGAGAGAGCTCAGAGGCTCGGGAGCCTGGGGAGAGGGGAGAGCTGGTACGCCACTTGCCGACTCTGCAGGAGGCTCGCTCACCGAGCAAAGGCCCCCCGCCGCCCCTAGCCCTGAGGTGGGGATCCACCAATAGAAGTGCCCAGTGAGTGTGGCCTCTGCTATGCACAGGGACACCCGGCAGCACGCCCTTCTCCAAGTGTGCCCACTCCCAAGTGGCGCTGCTGAGGGGCGGGGTCTGCACCCACCCGCCCTGCCTCTGGCCAGTGTAGGACCAGGGTCAGTCTCCTGCCGCCTCTGGAAACTCCACTCCTCACTTGCTGGTTAACAGGCTGGCCCAATGCCACACTGGGGCAGGTTCTGACCCGCAGTCCGCCTGCTCCTCCCCACTGCCCGGTCACCAGGCCTGGGGTGCGGGCCCTGAACGTCCCTGTCCTCTCCCACCCCCTCCCTCCGTCCTGTTCTCAGTAGCCCCACAGGGACCTTCCCAGCCACATCCTTTTTTGTCCCTTCTCTCGTCAGAACCCAGTGTGTTTTTTCAACCCCTAAAAGCTACTGCTTACTGCTCCGTCTTCTCCAAAAAGATGCTCCCTCCGTGAATGTCCCAGCCAGAGTACGTCTGAAGCGAGAGTGCTTGCTCTGGGCCACAAGCCATCCCAAGAGCTTCAGCAGGGTACCGAGCCTTTCAGAGCCCCCTCGTATTTGGGGGTTTCTCCAGATGAAAGTGCACAAGGCAGTGTGGGATTTGGACTCTTTGTGGAACTGAGATTAATTAAATGCACCAGCCCAGGAGGTCACTTCTGTACCTTGCTCCCATTTCAGACCTAGGGGCTCAGGACCCCACTGCCCTGCCCATGGACACCCCGCCACCACAGCCTTGCAGCCAGCCTCCTTTCCCCACTACTGCGGAGCCTTTGTGCTGATGGCAGCCCCTCCTAGAACTCCGGCACAGGAGAACCCCTCCTTCCTCCATTAACCTTTCCCATTCTGGGTCCCTGGAGATCTGTCCCCCTTAGAGATGTGCCCCCCGAGGCCTGGCTGGGGTATCTTCCCCAGGTCAAGTCAGAGGCACCTATGTGGGGCCACAGCACCCTCTGCCCCCCCAACCCCCTTACAGTCACATGAGGCTTCCGGCACAGAAGGTGGGACCTGGGTGCATTCAACCAGCATGAAGCATGGCCCAGAGCGGATGTCAGTAAAGGAGGGTAGTGAGCTAGATGGTGGGGTGTGTGAAGGAGTGAGGACTGGGGACAGAGATGGTGGGGGGGGGGAACCCAGAGAGCACAAGCACAAGTACAACCCGGAGCAGAAGAGAGAGTTAGGAGGCCCTGAGGGCAGGACGGTGGAAGAAACCCGAGAAAAGGGGAAGGTGCAGGGGGCAGGGAAAGACCCGGAGAAAAAGCAAGCAGGCGAAGGGGAAAGAAAGCCAGAGCTACACAGAGTGAGGGACAGGGCAGGGAGACCTGCAGGAAGGGGACAGTGAACACCTACAGGGAAGACAACGGCGTCAGGACACAGAAGCTTGGGGCTCACCTTGATCTCCGGGGCAGTGCTGAACTGTGGGGGTCCGTTGAGCAGGGCACCAGCTGCCTTGGCCTCGCTGAAGCTGGGTGTCGGAGAACTGGGGGGGTTCACAGGAAGCGGCACCAGGAGGCTGGGACCCCCTGTGTTGTTCCCTGAGCCTGGGGCCACACCCCCAGCCCCTGTTGGGGCTGCCGCACTGGGTTCCTTCCTGGGAAGGGGACAAGGGGAGAGGACTCAGGGGATAGGAGTGACTGATGGTCAGGGGAGGGAGTCAAAAAAAAAAAAGGGGGGAGAAAGCCCAGAAGGTGGGGACCCATAAGGGCGTCCAGTCCTGGGGGTCAGTTCCCCTCTAAGAGCCACAGAGCTGGGGGAGCCTGGATTCTTGGGGGCCCTAACACAGGCCGTGTGGCTGAGGGTTCACCAGCAAACACACAGTCTTGTGCAGTGGTCCATGGAAGAGGGGGGTGTGGGCAGGGAGCGTTCCACCCACAGAACAGAATGCCCCCCACTTGGGGCTGCCCGCCTAGAGCCTGGCAGTCAAGCAGACCCGGGGAGCAGATTTTGCCTGCGTCCCTCGAAGATCAGAATCTTTCTGGGGCAATCTTCTGAGACAGGGACGCACAGCAAAGGTTTGGCCTGACAACTGGAGCCACAGCCCCCTCCGGGGAGTCGGGAAGGCCCAGTGCGGGTCACAGAGAAGGGACTGTGTGGGGACTCCAGGAACAATCCTAAATACCCAAGGCGTGCCTGGAACGCTGCACAGGGCACAGCCCGGGGACTGATGTTGGAGGGACGTGGGGACCAGCACCCAAGTAGGTGGAAGAGGTCCCGGCAGGCCGGGGCAAGGATAGAAGCTAGACACTCACGTGGTACTGGGAGGGGGGTTGTGGGGGCCAGACGGGGGACCCAGGGCCTGGCTGCTGGCACTGTTGCCCCCACTGCTGCCGAGAGCCACCTCGGCCGGGCTGTCTGCCACCACCGAGCTGTAACCTGGGGGAAGGAAGGAAGGAAGGGGGAGTGACAACGGGCCACCCCAGGGCCACCCCACCCCCCACAGCCCCCCTGCTTACTGGTGGCACCGTTCTGCTTGCCGGTGCCTGCCCCTCCGCTGCTGTTGCTGCTGCCTCCGCCGCCCCCTCCCCCACCGGGCTGGACGCTGGGGGGCCGGGGCTGAGTGGTGCTGGACCCACTGGAGGCCGGTGGGGCCACAGCCTGGGCATAGGGGGCGGGGGTGCCTGAATTGTGGCTGGGAGCTGGGCTGGCCTTGGGACCCAGGGCACTTGAGGGCGCTGCTGGCGTGGAGGCCCCGTTGTTGCCAGGGGCGGTGCTCAGGGCGGAGGCGGCGGGCGGGGGGCCAGACGGGTAGCTGGGCGGCACAGCTGGGGATTGAGGGTGCTGGCTGCTGTGGACGGGCTTGGAGCCATTTTTGGCTGGAGACTGTGGGTGGGGGAGAAGAGGATCAGGACCCAGTGGGCCGGCAGGTCCACCAGGCCTCCCGCACACAGCCCTCCCCCAAGCTGGGCTCCACGGTCCTCGCTGGGCCTGCTGCCCCCAGCTGTCCCCTCCTGTGACCTGACGCTCCAGGCTGCAATCACCACCTTCGTGCCGAGAACACTGGCATTCTAGCCCACACCAGCGTCCCACACCCCGTGTGGACGCCTCTGCACAACATCCCACAGGGCTGCCACGGCCTGCGCATCAGGGAGACGAACCCGCTGACAGACTAAGTCTGATGACAGGGGAGAAACTAACGAATGCACTCCGTATGAGACCAGCTGGACCCAACTACAAGTCCAAGAGAAGGAGGAAAAACAGCCTAGAACTGGCCAGTAATTCTGAATGTCACCCAAAGGGTCAGAAAAGCAACTTGAGGGGCCACCGCTGACCCCCACCCCAGAAAGTAGAGGAATGAAGTGCCCAGGGCACACCCCGCAGCCAAGCTATTTGCCAGGCAAGTGCTACTGGCCAACCAGCACTCCTGTCCTCAGGTGGGGACCGCCCTGGCACCTCGCATGCCACACATCAAGGGGTCTTGAGGCCAACTCCCTCCTGGTCCCCCGAGTCCTACACAAGCCTCATCAGTGACAAGCCACCAGGCTCCTGCCTGACTGCCTCCTGATGACAGCGGTGCTTCCTACAGTGTGTGCTCTGGCCCCGTGCTGGCGGGGTGGGGGGTGGGGGGTGGGGGATGGGGAGGGGCTCACTTGGGGAGGACAGAAATCCCGTCAATAGCACAGCCAAGGCTTGTGACGAGGCCCACGGAAACCTGTTCGATTTCAGACCTATCGCCTCTCCAGCCTGTTGGCTCTACAAGGTGGGGGTCCCTCAGCCTGACCCAGCTGGACCACCTCTAGCCACCTGCAAGCTTTTGGTGTTGACTCACCCGTGTCACCTGCCCCTTCCCACACCAGACAAACCTACATCCTCCTCTAACGCACAGGGCGGGTGCCACATGCCATCCCCTCAGTCCACATTCACGCTGGCCCTCCTCAGGGCTTGAGGATCAATGACAGAGTCACACCCACCTGGCTGACTTCACTGTCCGTGGAGCGCCCCCTCTTCTTGTCATCCTCAGAGTTTTCCTGAAGGAGGGGAGGCGCCCTTGGAAACCCGTGTCACCTCTAGGCCCCAACCAACCCTCCCAGGGCCGTTCCAGCACCTGTGCCCTTAACCTCACTGGGGAACCCAGGGTCCTAGTCTCCCGGGAGCCTCTTCCAGACCCAGGAGCCCCTCTCCTTAGGGAATCCAGCCCTGGATCCCTGCCTAAGCTGCCCTGCTGCCAGGCCTCCACTGCTGGCCAGGGACCCCACTGACACCCAGCCCTACGGCCTGGATCCAGGACATCTGGACCCCACCCCCTCCCGCACGCCGTGTTCCCGCGTCCTCACTGTGGTGCAGTTGGCCGGGCTGGGTGGGATGGGAGAGCTGGAGGTGGTGGAGGTGGGTGTGCTGCTGGACTGGTTGAAGATCTCATCCTCCATGTGACTGTGGCTGGGGGGGGAGGTGGCGACCAGCGCCTGTGCTGTGGGGGCAGGGAGGGGCGTGCTTAACAAGCTGGGACGCCCCCCCACCCGGCCCTCACTGCCCTGTGCCCACGGGCCGGCCCCGGGCCTCACGAATGTCCTCGAGGTCCAGGTCGTCATAGAGAAACTCGTTCTCCTCGAAGTCGGGGTCCTGGGACGAGTCAACATAGTACTCGACGTCGTCCTTGATCTTGCGGATGGCATCCACGAGGATGGAGTCATTGTCCAGCATGCGCAGGATGGTCTCCAGCATGCGCACGTGGTAGCGATGTTTCTCGATGTGCCGCTTCAGGCCCTCGATCCGGTCCTGCTTCTGCTGGCGAGCCCAGGGCCAGGCTCAGGGGCTGCACGGCTCCTGCCCAGGCCCCTCCTGCCCCCACAGAACCTGTCCTCAGTCCCCGACCCCCGGAGAGACCCAGAGGCTCTGCTCCAGCCCCTCCTGACACAGGTAGTGTGAAGTCCACCCACCCTCTGACGTATGAGAGGCGCAGGGACCCCCAGCTCCCACCCAAACATCCCTGGAAACCTCTAGAAGACCAGGCAGGCCTGTGCTTCCCTACAATGCGGCCCTGACAGCCCAGATCTCTCAAATGCAGCATACCCCACACCCCCCATCTCGCCCTAAGGATAATAACAATGCCCAATTAGGGGGGGACTTGCCAAATGCGACCGTGATCACCTTTGTAACGGTCCGTCATCACACCTGCCCACCCTATGCATACACCCAAGGGAATCCAGAGTTGGCAGTTCAGTTCCTCCTCAGGCTTCTGGTCTCTATCCCCCAGCACCTCCACAAAGACCTACTGTGTCACCCCTCTAAGCTCCAGCTTCCTAAACAGCTCAGTCTCAGACACCCAAATCTGGTGCACCTCCCACTGCCCCCCACCCCCGGACCCAGCTCTCCGTTCCCTGTACTTCATGTGCCAACAAGTACACATGGTTTGCATCCCCCTGAACCCACACCCCACAATCTGGAGTCTGTGAATATGGGCCCCTAGATCTGGCTTTGTCCTCGACTGCTCTCCTTGGGCCAAAGGGGCGGCTCCCGCGTCCCACCTTGCCTCCGCCTACCATCTCGGCCCTCGGCACCCTGCATGTCCATCCACTCTCTCGCCTGGTCTGCGACCCCAGAACCCAGCGCGTGCTCCCTCAAACCACTCCTCCTTTTCATGGCACCACTGTTTGCGGAGGCGGGACCCCTGAGGCTGCCTCCCCTCCACATGCCACTCTCCCCAATTCGCCAGCCCCTCTCTGCCCTCTGGACGCAGGGTCCCCCCACTCACATCCTTGTCACCCTTCTTTTTGCGTGTCTGCACCGACAGGGACTCCACTTCACTCTCAAACTGGTCCACCTGCATGTTTAGGGTGTCGATGGTATTCTGCATGGGGGGAGGGAGTGGAAAGGCAGGTGGTCAGCCAGAGACCCCACAGTTGCCCGGTGACCAGGGCCCTGCAGCCACTTCTCCACCCGGACTCACCGTGAGCCACTGGCCAACCTCCTCTTTCTCCTTCTGGGCGGGGTCCACCTTCTGTGCCAGGCCCAGGCCCTCCTTGCTGTAGGCTTTGGTCTTGGTCTCTCGCTCCACAACTTTGAACCGTTCCATTTGCTGTGGAGAGCATGGTTGGCAGGGGTTCCAAGAAACCCTCCTCTTCCCAGGACCCCTAGGGACCCAGGAATCCAGCCACCTCCCCCGCCCCAACCTCAGGTACCCAGCTTTGGGCTCCTACCGTCTCGATGAGCTTGCGGTTGTCTATGAGCTGCCTCTTGTCCTTGATCTCGTTGGACGCTACCCATGTCTTGATCTGGTCCCTCAGCCGCTGCAGGTGGGAAAAATCACGATGGTCACACTGCCTCAGGACGTGGTTACTGAGGCTGCCAGCCCCTCCTCCCTGTTCCCTCTGCCCTTAGGACACAGAAATCCAGGTCCCCAGTCCCCTCACCTGAAGCTTCTTAATCTCCTTTTTTAGGTCAGCCTCATACTTCTCTTTCTGGTTTGCGTTGGCTGCATTGTGGAGCTGAGGGATGAAGAGAACACAGGTGTCAGTGTGGGACTTGCTGTCCTCATGCCCACTCCAGCGGCAAAGCTCCAGTCTCTGAGGGCTGGGGACTGTGGGGACACCCCCTAAGCCATCTCAGAGCTGCTTCTTAGGTCCTCAGCACCTGGACCCACAATCCCTCTCCCTGGCCCATGCCTAGAGATCCAGAACCTTTTCCCGTGCTCTCCTCCCTGGAGACCCAGATTTGTACCTTCTGCCAAATGTCTTCGAACTGCTCCACGCCCTCGGACACCTTCTTGAGGCAGCGATCAATCTCACCTGGCAGGGGAGGAAGGAAGGCTGTTAGCATCCCGCCCGGGCAGCAGGCATCCAAGGAGCTGTGAGGACAGCGAGCACGTGGCCACGCAGGCAGTGGGCAGTCGACCCAGTACCTTGGAGTTTGCGCTTGTCCGCCATCTTCCCTGCCCTACAGACGCACTCTCTTCATACTCTCCCGGAGACGGACGCTGCTGAGAGATAAGGAAGGAACACAGGTATTCTCTGGCTGGTCCATCAGAGAGACACGAACGACACTGGGAACAGCAGGGCGTGGGGGATGGTAAAGGGAAGACGCGTTTACAGTGTAACGACAGAGACCAGGCCAAGTTCCACTTATGCAGCCTCAACAGCCCAGCATGGGGGGCTGAATGAACGTTCTGGAAGAAACGTTCTACCAGAACACTCTGGAAGTTTGTGGAAACAAGGAAGGAGACATACTTTTTGTGTAACTCTCACCCAGGCAGTGAAAAACTGCTGGAGCACAGAACACCTTCTCCCCAGGTGACACTCCAGAAGATGTTTTAGGGCAGGAAAAAAGTCAAGCAGCACATCGCTGAGTGCTGGGGATGAAGGCACGGGGCCTGGAGGCCACACTCCCACAGCGGGGCAGGGCACACAGGTGACTAGAGTCCTGACACCAGAGAAGCTGCCCCTCAGACAGGTCAGAAGAGAGTCTGCAGGAAGAAGAGCCTGATGCCGTCTGTGCATGAACTGTAAGGGATGGAGGGGAAGCACCAGGGGTGGGAAATGCCTGCCATTAGGAAGAACTACTTCCCCCCCATTAGGAAGAGCTACCTTCCCCGCTCCCCCCCTACCCCCATCGTGACAGGGCTGGGACCAAGCAGAAGAGGGCCTCACGGCACCAAGTTTACTCCAGAGCAGGAGACGATGCTCCTGACCCAACGCCAATGCCGAGACTTAGTCGTATGGGAGCAGACCACAAGGCCACAAGAGTGCCCAGAAATGAGTGAGGTCTCAGAGACGAGGGTGAGGGGCCTCCGCTGTGAGGCAGCGATCTGTGCACGCGAAGTACATCTTGGATGCGCTGGTAACGCAGACACAGGGAAACACAAACCTCTAGGACGTGTGCCCAGTACCTAGAGATAGGGCTATCTTCACCCTCAAAGTACACAGCATGCGGAAGACAGAGCTCAAAGAGTCGTCACCAGGAACTCTGGCCCAGGGGGAAACCAGAGCTGAGAGCCCGACACCAAGACCAACGGAGATCCAGGGGGTCTCCTGCACTGCCCGAGATCACCCCCTAGAAACGGGGCCTGACTGAAAAGCAAGGCTCCCTGAGATAGGGGGCCTCCCACTCTACAGGCCCAGGGCAGGGGGCCCCAGAGCAGCCTGGACTAAACCCAGGACTGAGCCTCAAACCACGGGGAGGCCATACCAGGAGGGTCCCTGCCCACCGGGAAGGACTTGTCTCAGGAACAGTACTTCCCGGCCAACAGCACTTCCTGCAGTGGATCTGTGCTGCCCGTGCCACTGGACACGAAGAACGTGGCTCGTGCACCGAACAAGTGGAATCTTTCATTTGTATTTCAACTGTTTCAATCACACACAGCTGGTAGCTCCCGGTGGGATGGTGTACCAGAGAGCACGCTCTGGAACCAGAGGCCCTGAGCTGGTACCAGAATGGTCCACAGGGGCCCACTGTGGACAGCGGGGGCTGTGACACCTTAGACCTGAGGGAGCATCAGTCTCCTGAAAGGGCCCACCAAGAGAAGAACAACACCCCGGGCCCAGGCCCAGCTGCCACACTGAGGGGGGGCCCAGTCCCCACACAGAGAAATGCCAGCTCCAGGGCAAGGCAGCCAGAGAAAGGACGGAGGAGACAGTTGCACAGAGGGGACTCAAAGCCTTTGATCTGGGAGCTCAGGACAGAGCCAGGACTCCCAACACAGAAATGCCTCTTCCCGCCTGGGATCGGGGACAGGGACGTTAACACAGGAGTTTGCACCCCTGCCTCCGGTCCAGAGGGAGGGACCGCCTACCTTCTATCCCTACACGAGGCACTCCACACCGAGGGGCTGGGACACCTGGCTCAATGGGGAGGGGATACCCCTAAAAGAGGAACAGACTGGCAGCAAGAAGTCCTGCAGG